ATTTTTGTCTGCTACTATCATGCACTAGTGTGGCGAATTAAAGCGTAATGCGTCGATCGAAGTGACGTCGCGTGCATTGAACTTGAGCCCTATTAATCAATATTAATGCCTGCTTTTACACAGAAACTGCGGAAATGAACCAATTACCAGATGCCCCTAATTATGATCCCATTGTCACGAGAGAATTGGAAATAATTGCGATGTTTATTTGCAGGCAAATTACTATAAAATATACTACAATACATTATTGTTGGCATGGATACAAGTGTATATTTTTTTTAAAAGCAATGCAGGGTTAGATAGTCCAGCGTCACGTGTCAACGTTTGTTTGTTTGTATGTCGTGCTCTACTGACTCCAAAGTACCAACTCTCGACCCTATGATTGTGAACCAAACACAGTATTCTAATACTGCACTATACCATGTCACAACACACACGATTTTTTGTAATAAATTGAAATGCTCGAAACTTCATAGAAAAAACAACAACATGTATTTGTACCTACATATTTCAATCTACTTGTCTCTGAATGTTCATTTCTACTAAGAGGAAATGTACGTTGGTTTGCAGTGCCGCGTTTGAATAAGTGGACGCCAAATTAAATGAATCTGATATGCAAGGTACAGTTACTCACCGAATCTCACTATGGCGATCGCCATAACAACGATAACGACAATTCTTGGCATGACTTCAAGAGTTTGCATGATTCTAATTTACATAAGTCTGCAAGAAAGTAAAAAAAGGTCACTGAGGTCATTGCTTTATTTGTGTTTTAAACAATATGTCCCTGGTCTGCGACCTTGGATGAAAGGCCAGTCGATTTTAAAGTCCTTGTTCAATGAAATATTGATTTCAGTTTAACGCTTTGGTTTACTGAGGTCATCAGAAGCATAAACTGCGCATGCCATATTTCCAGGGTCGCATGTGTCAGGTAAAGATGTCACTTACTGTGGCACTTGAATTCAACATAAGGCCATTATGACATCGTATATTACATAAATCACTGCGCATGCAAGAAAAATATACAGATAAGACAGCGCTAACAAAAATCCACCCCCATGCTTTTATACAGGTGACCCCTAACACTCCAGTGCAGCGATTAATTGTGATATTAACGGGCAACATCTTCTTAATTTACAAAACTTGTGACATATATTTTCTGTACAATAACGGAGTCATTGCGAAGCTATTTACTAGATTGTGTCTAACAATCTGACCAATCAGAGAGCAGCTCTTATGACAGGTCTTTCAAAACTTTGCCTTGTATATATGCTTCAACTCAACAGCAGTATTGTACAAATCTTTTGAATTCTACGTCATACTTTATTTTCTTGAATTGTGAAGTAAAAATAAACGACATATGCTTGAAAACATGATAGCATTTGGCTACGGTTTGTACACTTCCTGACTCAGGATTTAATAAATTACAATGCGACGGTGCTACACATACCTCCTGGTTTCAAACGGTTTGCTAACATGCCACGTGACTCGTGACGTACACAATAAAAGCCAATTCCCATAACAGATTAATCTGTTCATTTACAACGGTGGAGCAAGGGGTAAATTACTCGGAAACCTGTAAAACCCCGGAATACTACTGTTTATATGTGTGTTTGATTTCCATTGTAATCGTTAACTCAATTGGTAAAATAGTTGTAAGATTGGGCTTATAAGGAGATGTCATTCTACAAAGTGACAACACTAAACAATAATGTCACGTGAGACATAGGGTTTGAGACATAGAATTATTCAAGTTGTAAGGGAGAAATTGGGAGAATTCCTACTAATTTTGTTGGATGAATTTTTATGTCAATCGTTTTTGTCACGAATTGATCCAAACAATAATATCGCAATTATATTTATTTAAAATACGAAATTTAATTGATATTTAGGATTTAAAATTCAATAATTGGTATTATGCCAAATGCGTATACGTATGGTAATCGTTAATGGGTTTGCATAATCTCATCTCAGTAGTGGCGTTGTTTTTATTCCACGGGGTATTATGAATTGACTTGTGAGCAGAAAGGACGAGTACATGGTGCACGTGATTTTATCGATTTTCAAGCAGATAATATGAACGAGAAAACACGACTAATGTTACGTGTCAATTTGTTCACTAGGAGTAAGACATATAACGGTGTGACAATTTTATTGCCAAATGTAGAAGACAAAAAATTGAAAATTGCTTATCTGATATGCGAATTTATTTCTAAATTATATTCTCCGTGAAATGCGACTTTTATTTACGCCAGTGTATGTTTGTATTCTCAATGATTTTGTTGATTTTACAGAGAGTGGTTTAATCAAGCCACGGAAAATATGACAGCCGAAATGAAATGGCCGTCGGCATTGTTATCGAACAATACCCGAAGGACTCCTGATGAATGGGTTTAATTTATTCCCTTCACTGTGGGTGCACTGAGAACAAGCACTCGCATATGTATTGTTGTCTAACGGTTGGAATTCCTGTCCAACTAAAAACCTCATTCTAAAAGTGATCAACTAAAATACTAATTGCTCGCGGTAATTGAAGACGGTGAGCACAAATTAGTGATAACTGACATATGTTGGAAATAAACAACACGCACGTACGGTATTTGTGTATAATTCTCCACACCATACGTTAAGTATCGACGGGAAAATTAATAAACCGTCGGTGTATTAAACACAGATTCTTGTTCATATTATAAAATTATAATTTCTGTTGTTGACAAAAATAAAAATCGAAGGACGCTCAGTAAGAACATCGCTCACGGCAAATCTTCAACGAGCAGGAGCCATTCTCTCGTATCGATAATCGAGTACTGGCGATTATCCACGGTATAAACTTCCATGGTTAAATCCGAGTACGTAGCAGCACGGAGGTGAAATTAAACTGATTTTTCCGATGCTATATATATTATACGGTTGGGTAATAACATAGTTTTTAAGTTTCAGCGGTTTAGGTTATTGCCTCTGATTTATTCATTCATTGTTACCGACACGCCATGAATGCGTCAGATCAGCCCAGCCATAACACTAGTGTCTTCCTGTCATTGACAGCGGCTTCTATTTACCGATATACCCTGTACGTTAAACACGTGATGAAATAGAAAGTATATCGAGGAAATGAAAACCGTGAAAAGCTAATGAAAACAACAAACATCGCGACAGGAATATTCCCTGGAAGCCCTATATGAGGTATGATCGGGGTACTTACCGTGTGTTTGCTTTAAATAACCGTTGAAACCTTAGTCACCTTCACTTTCGCCGATCGTAAATCACACGTTTTGCCGGCGAATACGAGATACCCGTCGTTGTTCAATAAAGAGATCGATTCCTAACACACTTACACACGATAAGACATCGCCTCGTGCGATCAATATGTCCCGGTGTCTCCTGTATACTGAGAGCTCAGGTATGGCATTCCAGGGTTTTTAATAGCGAAGATGTTTGAAAGTTTATATGACCTCACTAGCCACACCCACGCATGCGCACTACAGGCCAATCATACACCATTTTACATGGCGTAGCCATAGGTACATTTGTGTTTATTTATGTTTACCGTCTTAGAGCATCGATGAGTTACCGAGTGCACATCAATCAAGACACACCCTTTCGTTATTAATGTTATACACAAAACATACACCGTGTGTCATACAGAATAAAGGATTCACACAGACCAACGACTCACCGCTTATCACTCTCAGTTGCACCTCATATCTGAATGTAAAAGAAATCACACTATCAGACGATAATGTTATTGTTTACTGCGAACAAGTGAACAATCTCACTTTTGTGTGTGTTTGCGTAGTGAACAATACTTTTCTGAGTGATTTATTTCAAACAAAAATTCAATCAAATCAGATTTTTAAAAATAACACCAAAAGCATTAATTATAAACTAACATTAATTCTAAACTAATAAAATAAGCGCTGTATATGAATATATAACTCAACGAATTGGCATTAATTCAAACACCGCCGCCACCGACGGTTTGTGTCAATGCTACTTTATGCCCGTGGTATATGCCTGCCCCGGCCGTCCGTCAAGCTACAAGTCAGTATTGTCAAACATTCTATTTTTTGTCTCAAAATCAAAACACAGCACCAAGGCAAATTTGAGCCATGTAGATCATGATACCTATATAATTTAGGCTGAACTAATTACACTTCCACATTTTTTTCAGCAAGCAAACAGGGAATATGTTTTCACTGAATTTGTACGTACCTATGTTTCTTATGTCATCGCTGGATAAGCGGCAATTTGATTGATGGCCGAAATATAATTGTGTTTATTTTTTTGGACAAATTGTAACGTTACATTTGTATTATATGTTGAATAATCGGTGTACATGCCTTTTTCCAATCGTATCCCAACAACCACGAGCTCAATAACGTGAAAAATAAACACTTACATTAGTGTATATGTTGCGGGTAATTGATGTACGTATGGGTTCACAATTAATTTATATCGTGCTCTACCAACCAAATAATGATACGGGAGATTTTTAGATTTAAAACTGTTTTTATTTAAATACTGTCTCTTGTCAGGTGAAAGATCCCGACATTGAATGTCAATGTTGTCTCCCCTGTCAAATCTAGTCACGTGCATTGCAACTGACAATATCCCACTATTGGAGCTGTAGATGGAACCTGTGCTATAACCCGCGGCGTCAACTAGGCCCAGTCGAACACAATCATCTGTGGGACATTCGCCACACTTCTTTCAAAGCCTTAGTCACTCTGCGTATATTCGTAGTGGATTGGGTCTTCACATTGAGTCTGTGGCACACTCACCCATGATACAGTGGCTTTGGCCTTCCCATTGAATCTGTGGCACACTCACTAAGGATTCAGTTGCTTTGGCCTTCCCATTGAATCTGTGGCACACTCACCCAGGGTACAATGGCTTTGGCCTTCCCATGAGTCTGTGGCACACTCACCAAGGATTCAGTTGCTTTGGCCTTCCCATTGAATCTGCGGTACACTCACCCAGGGTACAATGGCTTTGGCCTTCCCATTGAATCTGTGGCACACTCACCCAGGGTACAATGGCTTTGGCCTTCCCATGAGTCTGTGGCACACTCACCCAGGGTACAATGGCTTTGGCCTTCCCATGAGTCTGTGGCACACTCACCCAGAGTACAGTGGCTTTGGCCTTCCCATTGAATCTGTGGCACACTCACTAAGGATTCAGTTGCTTTGGCCTTCCCATTGAATCTGTGGCACACTCACCCAGGGTACAATGGCTTTGGCCTTCCCATGAATCTGTGGCACACTCACCCAGGGTACAGTGGCTTTGGCCTTCCCATGAGTCTGTGGCACACTCACCCAGGGTACAATGGCTTTGGCCTTCCCATTGAATCTGTGGCACACTCACTAAGGATTCAGTTGCTTTGGCCTTCCCATTGAATCTGTGGCACACTCACCCAGGGTACAATGGCTTTGGCCTTCCCATGAGTCTGTGGCACACTCACCAAGGATTCAGTTGCTTTGGCCTTCCCATTGAATCTGTGGCACACTCACCCAGGGTACAATGGCTTTGGCCTTCCCATGGAGTATGTGGTACACTCACCCAGGGTACAATGGCTTTGGCCTTCCCATGAGTCTGTGGCACACTCACCCAGAGTACAATGGCTTTGGCCTTCCCATGAGTCTGTGGCACACTCACCAAGGATTCAGTTGCTTTGGCCTTCCCATTGAATCTGTGGCACACTCAC